TGCATTTTCTTAGTGACTAAGTTATTTGGTGGTTTCGGGCCAAAATTATTAACAAACAAACAAGTACTAAATAATCTGAATCATCCATTAAATTAATCATCTGAATCTTCAATTTAAAACAGTGAAAACTGAAAATAATTTAACACCGGAAATACTTTTTTAAACTATTTGCTTTTAGTACGGTTGAAACTTTTTGCCTGATTGTTATACGCAATGTAAAGTTAGATGCGAGGTGGAGGTCCTTCTGCGTACGCATTCATTATTTATTATAAAATCACCCTTCCAATCCACTTCCCAAAAGCATAAAATGTTCAAAACATTGAAACCAAAAAAACCTTTAGTTAATTCGATACATCTCTGTTAAATAACATAATATTGAATTTTTAAAATTGTGAAATTTAATGCTTTCTTAAAAAAAAAGAAATCAAGTTTTAGAAGAGAAAATCAAACCGCGTATGAACTTGCTGTCTTTAACATCTCACCTTACCTGTACGCATTTGTACATTTTGGGTAATCTTTCCTCCCCCCCCCCCCATAATTTCGTACGTACTGATTTTTTGAGGAAAAACCATACTTCTGCATGAAAACAACAGAATTTAATTAACAGTAACTTTTTTAAAATAAAAGTAAATTTATACATAATGCGGAATAAGAAAATAAAAGGTATAACATTTTACTACTAAATTACTACTAAATTGTTTTGTGTTTTTCACAACTTTTCCGGAAAAACAGTTTTGCGCTAACATTCGATAACTTATATTGTATGATGGTTGAAACATCGAATACTTTGACGCATATTTTTTCTTTTTTTTAACATCTTCACTTCCAACAAGGCTGCAAGCAACCACTATAAGAGTTGGGAGTTACTGGAAAAGAAAACACTAAATCTGTGGAGCGGGATAACGATTGACAGACGACTTAAAATATTGCAAATTATATGAATCAGGGAAGTAAGATGAAGGAAGCGAATTCCAAAGAACTGATGTTCGAGGAAAAAAACTAGACGAATAAGAGTTTTTGAAGCACTTAGGAACAGTCACAGAAAAAGGATGAGACTTAATTGAATGGCGAGTAACACGAGAATGAATTTTAGTAGATGGCACAAGGGACGCTAGCAACAGTGCCCATTATAGTATTTGTAGAAAAGAGAAAGAGAAGCAACATCACGACGATGTGACAAAGGTTGGAGATTGGCTGCCAGAGCAGGTCCAACTATGTTTACAATGCGTTTTTGCACCTTGTCTAAAAGAGAAAGAGCATCATTGAAGATCCACCCCAGATGTGGCAACAGTATTCCATACAGGGACGGATTTGAGATTTTTAGAGATAGAGAATAGAATCTGGAGTAAGAAAGTGTCGAGCTCGATAAAGAGATGCAACCTTAGCAGATGCTAATTTTGCAATGGATTTGACATACGGTTTAAAAGAAAGATCAGAAGTAAGAGTTAATCCTAGAAGATGAATGGTAGATGACTCATCTAGTACATTACCATTCATAAATATAGGAAGATCTAAATTATTACAATAACGATTGGCCGAATAAAATTGAGTTTTATCTGAATTAAAGCTCACCAGCCACTGTGAGCCCCATGCTGTAGCAGAAGTGAGATCCTTTTCAAGCTCAGATACCCCCTCCAGGCAATCAGAGAGTGTAGGCTTCTTATAATGACAAGAGTAAATGGTAGTGTCGTCAGCGAATAATGCCACCTTAGATGTGAGAATGTCTGGAAGATCGTTAATGTAAATTAAAAAGAGTATAGGGCCAAGGATTGAACCTTGAGGAACCCCTGAAGTTACAGGATGTGAAGAAGAGTGTTGTCCATCGAGGACAACTTTTATACTACGATTGGAAAGAAAGGACTCAATAATCTTAAAGACGTTACCAGCTACACCATAAGAAGAAAGCTTATGGAGAAGACCAGCATGCCAAACTTTATCAAAAGCTTTAGAAATGTCAAGTGCGATAGCCTTAACCTCTCCACCTCTATCTAATGCACGGTAAAACCTATCGGTTATTACTGTTAGCACATCAGCTGTAGAACGAGAAGACCGAAATCCATATTGATGATCAGAAAGTAAGTTATTTGATTCAAGATGAGAGATTAAGTGTTTGTTGATTAAAGATTCAAAAACCTTGCTTATGACAGGAAGAAGACTAATGGGACGGTAGTTAGATGAATCAGATCGCTCTCCGGAATTTTTGAAAATAGGGATAACAGATGCTGCTTTCCAGCATGATGGAAAACAAGACTCTGATAAGCACTTGTTAAATAGTTTAGAAAGTATGGATGAAAGCTCCGGAGAACACCTCTGCAAAACTACAACAAGAATGTTGTCAGGACCACAAGCTGTTGAAGAGTCTAAGCAGGAAATTACTTTAGATACAGAAGCTGAAGTGATGCGAATGTCAAGCAATGGATCAACCTGTTTGACGGCTATGTCAGGTAAAACGCAACTAGTGGAATCAAGAGATGATATTGATGAAAAGTTCTTAGCAAACAATTCAGCTTTGTCTTTAGGTGAGGTGACAAAGTCTGAACCATACAAGAGAGAAGGAATAACAGATTTGCCCTTATTATTGATACTGTTAAAGATTCTCCAGAAGTCTCGAGAGCCTAATTTTTGTGATGAGATACGAGATTTAATGACCTGGGAATAGCGAGCTTTGGCGTCAGACAAAACCTTTTTACAATGGTTTCTGGCGATAGTGAACAGATGTCTGTTTTCTGGAGAATTGTTTTGCTGATAGATATGGAAGTAACGGTTTCGATTAGAAATTGCTGCAGCGCAATGTGAGGAAAACCAAGGAGAAGAGTGAGGCTTGACCTGGAATCGTCGAGAGGGAATAAAAGATTCCATGCCAGCCTGAATCCACGAAGTTTTGTAAGAAGCACATTTGTCAGCAGGAAGACGAAAGATTTCTACCCAAGGGCCATCACGAAGAAAATCACGGAAAGAGTCCCAGTCAGCTTTAAGGTAGTTGTATGTGGTACGATGATAGGGGGATTCTGATGAAGTAGAAGAATTTGATAATAGTTTTAGAGAGATCAAACCGTGGTCAGAGTACCTAAGGGTGAATGTGGAGAAATTGAGCACTGACTAGGATCCAAAACAAGACATAAGTCGAGTAGAGAAGGTAAATGATTAGGGTTGTCTGGAAAACGAGTTGGAAAGTTGACTATTTGAGTTAGAGATTGAGAAAGGCAAAAGTTGAGGGCCTTAACGCCAGCAGAGTCACTGACACTAGAGCCAAGCCAATCGGTGCAATGGGCATTAAAGTCACCAACAACGACGATATTGGCCGATGGATAAAGAGAGAGGGCTTGGTCAATTTGATCAGAAATAACATCAAGAATAGTGCAATCTTGGGATGAAGGAGAGCGATATAGAACAAAGAGAAAGGCGATAGAGTGAAGTTGTGCTAAACGAAAGCACATAAATGAATAGTCTGTAGATTCAAACCTAGTTTAACGACAAATGGGTGAGTTCTTACGAATGTAGATGCCCAGGCCAAGCATGTGATTATTGGAGTCTTTACGAATTAAAGGAAGATAACCATCAACACTAAGATCACAAGATGGGACAACCGAACTCAAATTAGTCTCACAAAGAGCAAGTAGGTCTGGTGAACTTTGCAAGAGATAAGACTCAACAGAAGAAAAGTTACTTCGAAGACCACGAATATTAGTAAATGATAGGTTTAGAGAACTTGGTGATGACGATGGTTTTTTGTGTTTTTTAGTTTTAGGTACTTTAGTCATTTTAAATTTATAAAGAACTTGACTCAAGTATAGATAGTACTCAGTACACTATTTAACAACTAAGCAATAGCCTCATTACTATTAATAAACCCTAAGCCGTAACAAAGGGCTCCAAATGTGGCCTCTACAATGCACACCAAAAGTACGAACAGGGACACCATCCATGCGCAACATGGCACTGTTAGTACTCTGATATTTTTTGGCTGTTGATGGAATCAGCCTCTCTGAGAGCTACCACAGAGTTCGGGAAACCTGACTACCAGCCGGCCTCAGAACCATAAAACTGAGTTTTAGAGCTGTACCCTCATTAGGAGATAATAGAATGAGTTGCCCAGTCATAAAAATAGAGACACAAGCAATACCCACGCATTGAGTCAAGAAGATCCAGCGTTCAACATCCTAAACTGGAAACAATGTATTAAAAATACATCTGCGCTAGCCTAATAGATGAAGAAGGGGTGCAAGACTGGTCAACAGATAAAATATGTTAATTATTTGTCAATATGTATATTATTTGTCAAATGTGGTCAATATGTCAAATTGTCAAATGTGGTCAATATGTCAAATTGTCAAATGTGTGTCAATATGTAAATTATTTGTCAATATGTATATTAGTCAAATGTCAATATGTATATTATTTGTAAATATGTATATTATTTGTCAAATGTGGATTATCCTATTATTATCCTATTTTTGATGGCCTTGGATGACTTTCTTTAAACAGAATTTTAATTTTTGTTCTGATTATGCCTACGTAAAAATTTATGACCAACAAGTTTTTAAAATTTCAACTCTTATAGTAAATTACAATCAAGAAATAATTTTATCTCTTGCTATTATCTTCTTGAAAAATGTTTCAAGACATTAACGAATTAAAAACAATATTTTCAAATTTATTAAAAAAATACTTAGGTTTTATGTCATTGGCCAACCAAAGAGCACGCAAGACCTTTCAGTATTTATTAACCTATAAGTTACAACTCACATTTCGGAAATAGTTTTCAACACAAATCGAAATGCTGAACAAATTAATATAGATGAGGACACAAATTGAAATGCTAAACAAATTAATATAGATGAGGATATAATTAATAAGAATAGTTATAATAATACGTTAAGAACTTTAATAACACATTACTAACAGTATTTAAAAAGACGTGTGAACAGAGTTTTATATTTAGATAATAAAAATATTAAAATACATTTATAGGACGATGTATGAAACAAGTAATAAAAACATTAAAAAACATTAATTCCGAATATCCGGATCAAATATACATATATTATCATTTAAATTAGTCGAATTCGTGACATTTTGTAAACCATTATCTTCTGAACAATTCCTTTTATCAATAGAAATAAAGCCAAGTTCGCCATTTTCACAATTCTGATGATTTACCTCCAATTTTTCTGAATTCTCAAGACTCTTTAAAGTGTGTATATCGTTTTCAAGATCATTATTATAGTCGGTTCTCCTAATGTCTTTATCTTGATTTGAAGAATTTAAAAGATCGCTAGTTTGAAGTGTATGGTCGAGAAGACTTTTACTAAATTTATTATCTGATAAATTGTCCTCACTAGGTTGATCAGAAGAACTCGTAAAAATGTTCATACCTTCCTCATTAAGAGAGCATTCGTTAAAAGATTGTTCTAGCTTAATTGTGTCATTAGATTGAAATCCTATTTCCCTAGAGAAAAACCTCACATCGTTATCAACATCTTTCGACAGTGTTTCAAATGTGCATTCAACCATATGTCTAACACTGTCATCTTTAGGAAGACTTTGAAAGTATACTGAAAACGAATGTAAAAACGTAAAATAAATATAAATTAAAAAAAAAAGTAAAAAAACTTGAAAAAAATTAAATCTTTATAAAAACTTAACAACATAATTCACATACTGGTACTTCGATATGCCAAAAGAGCTTTTGAAGCAACAAGACGAACATTTGGAACATTATCTCCACACAGTTGAAGTAAATTTGGAAGAAAATCTTTGGTAAAATTTACAGGATCGTAACAACAGTTTCGTAAAAAACATAGATAAATCTGTGAACATCTAATATATAAATATAATATATATATATATATATATATATATATATATATATATATATATATATATATATATATATATATATATATATATATATATATATATATATATATATATATATATATATATATATATATATATATATATATATATATTCTAAAATAAACTTGAAAATAACCTAAGCTAAATAGGAGGCACCATTTCAAGTACAAAATGTAATTTATAATATAAATTACTTTTTGCAAACATTTAATATAATTTACCGAATTAAACTCATAACATGTGTAATATTAATGAGTTTAGATTTTTTAATGAATTTTGACGTTTTCAAGGTTAAAGAAAAAACACAACTCACGACTTCCTTTTTACCCAGTGTTGAGTTTTTGATCCCAGCTCCTTGATATTTGCCGTAAATTTACGCAAAACCAAATCACCTGATAAGCGTCTAATAAGCATGCATAACTAAAAAGAGTAATAGAAATATTACATAAATTAAAGGGACATAAGTTCTACTGAAAACCTTAAATAAATAATTGGCAATGCCTAAATTTAAAAACATACCAATTCATAAGCATTCTCTCTTACTTCAGCCACTTTATCAGCAGCAAGAGTTAATGCAACTGGACATATAAATTCACCCAACTCTGCCTCAGTATATAGATTTACAAGACCCATAAGCTGTCTAAAAATTTAAACAAATTTGAAACTTTCAAAATAAGACAATAATACCTCTCTCTCAAAGTGTATACAAAAGATTTCGGTGTGTGTGTGTGTGTGTGTGTGTGTGTGTGTGTGTGCGTGTGTGTGTGTGTTTAAATATATAGGTTGTTATGCATAAGTTGTGTATGTGCTTTTGATTTAAAATTGCTCTTAATTTATTAAAATATAAAGTTTATTTATTAATTTAGATATGAATAAAAAAATCATGACTTCACAACTTTTGATTGAAGAGAGAACTCAAATTGTTTTTTTAAAGAGAGAACTCAAATTCTATTCTATAAAACATTAGAGATATGGTTTAAGAGAATTTGTCTAAAAATATTATATTAAGAGTAGGCCTCATTGGGCCTACTCTAACCAGCACAAACAATTACCTATTCAAATCAAAAAACAAAGTAATGGTGTGATGGAGAAATCTAGTGGTTTAATTGATCCATACTTTTTCAACATTTTGGTCACAGGTGATTCATATTTACAAATGCTTGAAAAGATTTTATGGTATTAAGTTAGACAACATGCTATCTATTTTCAACAAGTAGGATTTTTTAATTTTTGAGCAAATAGAACAAGCGTGTGCAGAGAAGAAAAATGTAAAAACAGGTTTGATTAAAAACACACCCGAAAGCTAATGGTAAAAAAGTTGAACAGCCACATTTTACTTTTTATATATTATTAAAAATTATAAAAAAAAAAAAAAAAAAAAATACTAAACTTTTGTTAGTAATTTTTAAATAAGCTCTACATAAATATATATAAATACAAAGCAGATACTATTTTATGGTGGTAGCACTGCCAACAATGGATTTTATTGAATATTTAAAAAAATAATAATAAGATATACTTATGATGATAATGTTCAAACTATTTGCGACAATTATTGACCCATTTCTCTTCTTTCCAGCTTAAGTAAATTGTTTGAAAAAGCAACGTTCCACAGACTCCAGATTTTTTTGGAGAAATAAAAATGTTTTTTTACTAACACTAATATGGCTTTTGCAACAAATATTCAACAACTCATTCATTAATAGAAATAAAAGAGAAATTTAGACAAGCCCTCTACAATAAATACTGTGTGCATGGAGTGTTTATTGACATAAGAAAAGCATTTGATATCATTGAGCACACAATTGTCCTAGACAAACCGCAACACTGCGATATTAGAAGTATTCTTCTTCTCTGGTTTTCCTCTTATCTTTCAAATAGAACAAAATTAATGGTATCAAATTAAAAATAACTAATTCTTTTCTTATCGTTTAAAATCAATACTTAATTTAACGCTGCTGCTGCTATTGCCCATTCGTACGCCTTTGACACAGAGTTTTTACCATACTTGGCCTTTTAATATTTCTCTTTATATTTTTGACCACGCGATGAGGCATTCATAAATCTTTAACATCTGTTAATATCTGCTTAATCAGTAATAAGACAGAAAACTTTGCTTTATCAGCTTAATTAGTAATAAGGTCGAAAACTTTTTAATTTGATGACTTCTTTAGTAAAGGATAAATCTTATGTTATTTTTAAATGAGTATAGTAACTTTTAAAGTCAGGTAATTTATATATGCATTTTAATACTAACACAATTCAAGTCCTTTGTCAATTGTATTTAAAGTATGGTAATCAGTTATTTTTTATTTAAAAAAATTAGAAGACGATGACGACTCTAGAAAATGTTGCTCTTTTCAAAAATTAAAACTCTTGATAAATTTAGTATTTATCTCCAAAACTCACATCTCACACAGTCAACAAAACAAACATTTCACACAGTCAACTCTATGTTGTATGTTGTAAGAAAAAGATTGTTTAATACCTTATTTTAAAGAAATTAAAGAAAATCTGTTTGCTTTTATAATATAAAAAACCAGGATGTTTGATCATTTATTTTTTTAAAGTTGTTAAACATTTATTACGAAGTATGCCATTAAACCATGTTTGTGATGTGTTATAATGTTATGCGTTTATAGTTTGTAAGTGATTATTATGTTGTTTGCATGATTTCAAATTGTTATGACTTGGCTTAGTTTACAGCATAATTATTGACCTTGCTGGTCAAGTGGTGTACTTTACTTTAATGTGACTTGGCTTTGTTGAGAGCAAGAATGTTGTCCGTGCCAGTAAAGTGGTGTACTGTCATGATGAAATACATAAATTAAATTTGTTTGTAGTTAGTGTAATCATAAAATGTGTTGAAAAAATATTGTTGAAAGAATGTGTTAAAAATAAAGTTAAAAGGATATATAGTTTTTTAATATCTATAATTTTTTAAATATTTTTAATTTTAAGTAAATTTTATTGATTTTAATGATAAATAAATTTTGTTAAAAAATGGGCTTCCTATTTATTAGTAGCTCCTCCCCATTTAAAAATTTATAAGTTTTTATTTCTTTCATTAAAAATGTTTAATTCAAATTTATTGTTTTTTTTATAAAGGTAAGTATATAAAGTGTTATAACATAAATTTTGGTAACTTTCATTAAATTTTTAGGACTTTTTTGCATAAAGAATGTTTTCTCTAAAATAATACTTTATTGTTATTATATATATATATATATATATATATATATATATATATATATATATATATATATATATATATATATATATATATATATATATATATATATATATATATATATATATATAGGCCTTCTCATAAGAGGCGCCTTATATGACCACACATAAATTTCTTTCTTTTAACAACTTGACCACAGCTCTTTGCAAGTTTTGCTAATTAGCGTTTTGCTAAGTTTTGCTAATATGCGCTAAAAAAAAAACAAAGCTTATTAAAATTAAAATAAACAATCCATAAACTGAAAAGAGAATAAAATCCTTAAAATAATATATAATACAAAAATTAACCTAAAAAAATAAAATATTCAAAGAATGATAAAATAAATAAAGGTAAAACCAGAAAAAAAAAATTAAAACATTTAATAATTAATGTAAACTTAATTGTAAACAAAAGTCAAAAAAAAAAATTATCACAGCTCTAATAATCTTTATCATTCTTTCCCATGAATAATTAGTTATAATTAGCTAATACAAGAGCAAATCTATTGTGAGGGAAAGGGTCCCCCCTTCCCTCAGATTTTATATTTATATTTTTAAAAATTGATGTTTAAAAACGTAAGTTACTTAGGCTGTTTAAAAGTGTCATGAAATTTAATAAAATTTTGAGGTGTAAGTTTAAAATTTTATTAAAAAATTAATAGGATGCAGGGTGTGACAAATCGACGAAAGTGTGCAGATTTCTTAAAAGACAGACAGAAAAACAAACATCACGTTTCTTTAATTTTGCTTATGCAAATGTTGCAGTTTGAAAGGATTTTTGAAAACGAATGTATCACTTCAGCAATTTTTTTCAAAATAATTTTGCGATCATTAGTTTTTTATTCATTATAAAAAAACATATTTAATATGAAAAACAATTAATTTCACAGACTTAAATTAATGCCAAAACATAAGTACTTTTTTCAATAGTGTCATTTTTAAGTAAAATAACTAAATACGCTTTAGAAAAAAGTAATTATGTTTTAGCATGGTTTTTGCATGCGCTCACAAATGCATACATAATTTTACTTAAAATGTATGCTTTTGCCAAAACTTCAAAAGTTTAAAGCAAATGTATTAATTATAAATAAAAGTTAACATGCTTTTTTGAAAATTTTTTTATTGTGCATTTATCATTAATTGGCGCGCACTTTGCGCAAATGTGTAAAAAAAGGTTTTTGAAAAATAAAAATTAATCTTGGTAAATAAATTTACCAAGCATCTTTGATATATTTAATAACTTATTAACTAGAATAAAAATTATTTGAATTTTATTTGACATAAATCTCTTAAATTAGACATTCGTCAATAAATTAAGTCAACGTTCATTAAAAAAAAAATGTCACGCCCTGGGATAGTTGGCAGATGCAATTGTTTCAAGATATTTGTAATTATTTTTTTTTAGTAAACAATTTATATCCATGATAAAATGGTTTGTAATTATTTTTTGATAGCTTCTGCACTCATTTTGCCTTAAACTCTAATCTGAATATTTTTTTCAATGATTGCCTTTATTTAAGTTGCATTAAAGTACTCAGGAAATTTTGTGGGAGTTCAATTGTAATTATGGAATAAATTAAATTAAAAATTACATTTGTTTTTTTTAGCGTATTTTTTAAACGCGCTAATTATCTTAAAAAAACTTGCAAAGAACTGTGGTCAAGTTGTTAAAACAAAAAACTATATGCGTGGTTATATAAGGCGTGCGATCGCATGCCTCTAACGAGAAGGCCTATATATATATATATATATATATATATATATATATATATATATATATATATATATATATATTTATATATATATATATATTTATATATATATATATATAGATTTAAATCGGCGTTCTTTTTTAATTTTAATTTTTTTTTGCACTAACCATGCTTTTTAAAAAGCATTGCAGTATATTATGCAATTAATTTTTTTTTAATGACATTGTTTTTTATTTTAGTTATAACAATAATTATACTTTCATAAGAAAAATTATACTTTTGCAAGAGTCGTAAATTGCATTTTAAAAACATTTTTATCAGCTTGAACTGACAGCCTTTTCTGAAGATTTTGAAAAAGAACATTCTTGGAGATCAAAATGTAAGTTGTTAGCAACCACACTCATTGTAGAATTGGTGCCTACCTTTTTTGCAAAACTGGTAAGATTGTTGTCACACGAATTGCTTATTAAACCTGACACACCTTCATTATTACTTGTATTTGTATCAAGTTCAGATAAAGATTTTACAAGTATTATTCCACTTTTAGTTTTAGGGGCAAAATTCTGTTTACTAAATAATACTTGTAAATTCTGTTTCTAAACATCAACTGCAAATTTTGTCTTTACAAACTTTGGTGATTTAGGACAAGCTGTAACTAAATGTTTTTTAGCCAGAGTGGAGTTTTGCGTGAAAAACTTTGCATTGCAGTATGTGCAAACAAGTGCTGTTTTTTTTTCCATCATTGCATATTTTTTTTTACATGTCCATTCCAGACTTGTTCAAATTCGCGAGACATATTTTAATTGATACTAAAAACATTCATAATTTAAAAAGAAAGTACAATTTAAAAGATACAATTAGTCAATTTAGTTTACATAGAATCATTCTATGTAAACTTTCAAAGTAACTATCTGTAAAATTCGAAGAATTATAATTACTATATAAAAAATAAAAGAAGAATTTATAAAATATAAAATATTTTAAAATTTATCTATATAAAATAGTACATATAAATTATACTACCTATAAATGAACACACGCACACACATACATGTGTGTGTGTGTTATGTCATAACAACGACACCATTAATTTATACAATGGTTATATAAATTATTAGTGTTGTTATTTTTATTGATTTAAAGTTTTTTTGCGTCATTTTTTTTTGGTAATCTAAGTTTGTGTTCACGCTATATTGATTATGATGCTAGGTAAACTTTACTGCTATAGCTTACACCGTTTTTTGAATTTAATTCGATGGGATTTAAAATGCAAAATAACAATATAAACTTATCTTATAAATTGCTGCAAGCATGGTATTGCAGTGATATAACAAAATAGTCCAAAGTTTCCTTGATTGGAACTATAACTTTTTCCTTACTTAATCAGTAATAAAATCAAAGGTTTGTTTAAGCCCAATTTAAAAATACTTAATAACAATCATAAACCTTAAAAATAATATTTTATCCAGCGATTTTTAATCAATAAATTAAAGGAACGTCATGAAAGTTGAAGCTTTAATACAATTATTTGCTTGTAGACTTTCAGTTTTTCAGGGTAATATTAATCCTATTATAAATTTTGAATGAACTGTTTAAATTTTCACTGTAAAGATAAAAATCATTTTAAATCAATTTTTGTTGATTTTACTGTTGTTATTTTTTAAAAAAAACAACCTGTTCTGATTAATAAATCAAAATTCC